AATGATAGATGAAATCCAAACCTTAGAAACCTTTCTTGTTTGATTTCTTTTCAAAGGTTAAGAATTTGCATAAGTTACATCAATATGGGATTATCTAAATAATATAGAAAATTTTATAAATTAGTACTTGAATCGCCTTCCTATGGAAACGATACTCTTTTTGTCATATTCTACTTGTCACGACCCATGCACTTGTGGTAGAATCTAGGCACATCGGACCAGATTGAAATCGATCAACTTGGGTTTGTTCAATTATATTTTTACTTGTAAACCAGCTATTCTATTTTTTATATTCTCAATGAAAATTAGTTTGGTCCAATTCTCAAGATATCTTGACTAATCCATCCAATATTCACCCTTGGCCTTGATTTTAAACTTTTCGATGTCACCCCTTAACTTTTCTAAATCAATATTGAACTTAAAAAACATAACTTAGGACCGAATTCCCTTTTTATGATGACTGATAAGTAAAATGATTTTTAACACCACAATTGATGGGCTCAACCCGAAAATAAATTGGATCATTAAAAGCAACTAAATAATGGGAATATTAGATACACTACCCTAAAAAATTAACTATTTAATTAATACCTTAAAACTAACTAAAACTACTGTTACCGTATTAATTACATTCAAAACCACAACAAAAACCCAAACCAGAAGGGCAAATCCCTGAATCAAAAAACTTTTGAGAAACCTCCGTTCCCAACTTTGACTTCGATTCCAATGTTCCTGTAGATAGAAACCCTCACCCACCAATTTAATGTTGTTGCTTCTTTGTAATTTTAACGCAAGTTTCCCATTTGGATGAATGGGTGATTTTGGGATGAATCTTGAGCGAAAAATCATTTTTTGCACGGTAAATGCTTGAATTTGGTAAATCTTTGTTGATATTTGGGTCGATTTAATCTATGGTCAAATTTGGTAAATTAATATCATAAATCATAGTCATTCAAGAGAAAATCTGGGAGTATAGAAGGAATTCAAACATGAAAAATTACACTCATATTGAATAAACATTATTTTTGAGGTTGAACGTTGAATTTGAGAAGATTTTTCGTTCATTTATATTTGAAGCAGATTTGGACATAGATTGAAATGAGTTTGTGGATAAATACATAAAAAATTTGTCATTAAATTTTGGATTAGCTCCAAAATTAAGTGACACACTCATTTCCTTCTATTTTCTAAGATACCATCAAGGTGTTTGACAAAATGTCTCAATTGCAATTTACATTTACATTTAAAGACATTATGTATTTAAACAATGCCCTATTATGTAAATTGTGGTAGCATCCTTATGAAGTTTATTGACTAATTCGACAAATTTGAACAATGCCCAATTATGTAAATATGAAGACTTTCTGCATAAGTGTCCATTCTCCAAGTTTTTGCAATCCATACAATGAAATTGCAAATGGAGGGTAAAGTTTTGAAATACTACTTCTTGCTTTTGTCTAGAAATTATTGAAATTCTCCCATTATTATTTGTTCCATTTGATAGAATTTTGTTGAGTGATTTAAGATGTATGTGGGGGATAGTAGAGGAGGATGTTAAGGGGAAATACAGCTTAATAGCTTAAATTGAAGGAGGATTTTCCAAATTAGTCTAAGAAATAAAAACATTTGAAAATTAGCCTTCAAACAATCAATTTTCCAAAAATACCCTTAATAAAAATATTGCAACCAAAGCCACTACAATGCCTAAAAACTTTCAAATAGGTCCTCAAGAAAATATA